ATTATTCATGGAGGAGAGGAAATTTCGTGTTTGAAGATACTTCTAAAGGTAAGCATGTGTAGCAAATGCATTTCTAAAGCTGACTTTCAACATGGCTCGTAGTCGTTTGCTTTCCTCTGATGAGAAGGCTCATCATGAACCCGGCCTCAGTACTTGAGCCATCTCCAGGCAAATAGGGAGGTCCCAATGGTCAATTTAAAATTCCTGGAAAGCCCTGATGTCCTCAGATATAACACCGACTGTGGACACCCATGCAATATTACTGCCCGTGACAAGCGGAAGATTCTGAGGACTGTTTCCAACAGTACGTCCTCCTTGAGCCAGATCCGATCGGAATTAAACCTCTCTGTGTCGAAAACTACAGTCTGGAGAGTAGTGAGAAGACGCGAGAACATCACCAGGCAAGCAATGGAGAAGGTACCACGAATCATCGATCGCCACAGAGGGGCTCGGCTCGGATTTGCAAAGATGAACCTAGGGAGAGGTTGGGCAAAGGTAGATCTGTATCAAAATCTCGCCATAGAGCTGAATAATTCCTATTCAGATCGTCTTTTCGGATGAAAAGAAATTCAATTTGGATGGTCCTGACGGAAACAAGCACTACTGGCGCGACTTGAGGAAGGAACCAGTCTACTTCAGCCGTCGCAATTTCGGTGGAGGAAGTCCATGGTGTGGGGTGCATTCTGCAATGATGTCGTGTTGGATCTACCTCTCATGGGCTGCAGAATGGACTCCAAGGATTACAAAATTTCAACAAGACAACGCTTAAATTCATGTGAGCCGTGCAACGAATGGGTGGCTGCAATGCCAATACCTAAGCGTCCTGCCATGGCCAGCCTGCAGTCCCGATCTCAATCCGATGGAACATATCTGGGGCATGATAGTCAGATAGGTTTATGCGAATAAACCTCAGTTCCAGGGCACAGAAGAGCTGAAGCGGGCAGTTATCGAAGCATGGAGGGCAATCTGTGAGGACATCTTTGAAACCTAGCTTTTAGTATGCCACGCAGGCTCTTTGATGTTGCTCTTAAGCAAGGAGGAACTATAAATTACTATCTGTTGTACATACGCCAACAACGTTAATAAATCATTTACTTTCTCAGGGTGACATTATACAGGGTGTCCCAAAATTATTTGCGCCGATTTATAGCAATATATTTGAAACTTCCCTACTGCGAAAGACGATGGAATTTCTATGCATGCTAGCTAACACTATGTGCTACAACATGCTGGAGTCGCATTTCAAAATATCCCCCGTGAGCGCGAATAGGAGTCAAAGTTTGCTCTCGACTTGATCGCATGTGGCACGCAGGTATCCTTCTCCATTTCTTCCCAGCCGTCCTCCAGCTTTTGCATTCTGGGACTCCAAACTGGGGCCGCAACTTCGACAGGTCCTCTTCTAATCAGGGACAATTCGTGGGATTCAAGTGAGTCAAGTTGTGGAAAATAGGATGACCATTCCTCTTCACCAATGAAGTCGGGAAGCTGTCGTCGGCACCACTCGCGGGCAAACTTGGCTCTGTGGACTGGAGTAGCTTCCTGCTGGAAGGACTGCGAGATGTTTTAGGAAACGTAGTCGGATCAATGTTTCATTTACTTCCATCAGTACGCCGTTTGCGTACTGGTCTTGGTCAATTTTCACGCCTGCACCGAAGAACCCACGAGTGGCTTACCCTTGCCAGTGATTTCCTCGAAAAACATCATTTTACTGTTATGATTCAACCTTTTTGTGAGATATTACACGCTGGATGTTTCTTTCNTCAGGGTAACCTTATAATTATGAAACGGTGCAAAAGCCCAAAAGCCGACACTATCTTTTAAAAAATCATAAAAAATTCAAGGTGAAGGTTATTGCGACCAAAATTTGAATACGGAGGTACATTGTGTTGAGGAATCTTCCTGTATTAACCAAACAATTCCATTCCGGCTGCTTTCTCCAGAATCGCAAAAATCGAGGGTGACCCTATACTTACGAAATGCACGTATTATCTATTGGGTGATTGAAAGCAAAGTGCGGCACCATAGTCCACTAGTCAGTATACTTCATCACTCATATTATACTAAGTGCTTCTAACCCATTAGCGACCGCGCCTTTTAGGCATGTCTGGCGTGTGGGACCGAGCGCGTTTTTCGCGGACGCTGCTGTGGCCCTCTGGCGGGCCGCACGGTCCCAGGAGCAACCTTATTTCTTGCGCACCCTATGCACCCATCCTTTGATATGAAGTTCCATCAAAATGTCGCAGAAGAAGTGATAAGTCATCCATAAAACGTATGTGCTACGTTGTGGATGATTTATCATTTCTTCTGTGACCTTTTGATGGAACTTCATCTCGCAAAATGGGTGCGTAAAACAACATTCACTGTTACTTTGCTAGGTTCTACGGGGAATAGGGAATAGGAAAATAGGGAACTGCAAGCGTAGCGGCTTATGGACGCCATGTAGTTTTCCTAGATGATACATAGAATGCTTCCAGGGAGTGACAACGGCTCCGCGAATTTTTTCGGGGAATCGTCCTTCCGTCTGGACCGAGGACGCTCGCGTGCGGCGACTGTCTCCCTCGGACTAATGCCTTGTTCGGATGGACCATCTCACCTATCAGTTCTCAATATGAAGTCCCATGGAATTTTCACTTTTTTCTCCTGTACGGAGTATCCATTGTAATGATTGACCCACTATCGAACTGTTCCTTTTAGTCGTTATGAGTCGTTATTTGTACATGGTATCAGTCTATGTTTTAGAGATAAATCTAATATTTCTTGTCCATCGTCAAAAATAGGATTTGTTCGTTTCTATTACTGATGCTGATGCTTACCGTTAGCAACGAGTGGTTCGCCATTCGCTGTAGGTAAGTAGCAGGGCGATATTTTGAGTTTCGAAGCTTTCTTCCGATTTCAACTGGCCAATCTCTTTGGTGGAGAGATGGCAGATGGGCACACTAAAAAAGTTTGCTTAAAAGGTAGTTTCCGACAACGACTACCGTAGGTTTTGCTGATTTCCAGATTTTTTTTCGTGCATCTGCTATCCGAGTAGGATTTTTCGGTTGTTCGGCTAGCTAATATGTCCAGTTGCTAGGCAAGTTTCGTTTTCGTGAATGTTTTCTGTACAGTTTTCCAGCCAAGAAAAAAGCGTGCACTTTGCACTCAGTGGGCAACGTTCCGAACGCCATCTGAAGGAAAATGTTCGTAGCGATTGGAGTGTATGACCCCGGGGTATATGTGTATAGAAGGGTGCACCCACGGTTTCGTGTTGGTCTTGCTATCATGCTATAGTAACTAGCTCGCAGCCGCGCATGTTGGTATTCTCTAACTCGTTGTTCTCGGCCACTCTCAGTAAATTCTTTTCCTTCTATGTACCTTTTCGATGAAAATCTACCGTTCTGCCTTGATATGTCCGTCACAGAGATCTACTTTATTTGCGTCCTTGTGCGCTATTCTGCCCTTTTATTAACGCTGAAAGGCCCGATTCGACTGCTATAGTTTACACCGATAACATAGGTATTATAAGCACATGATGATCAGCAAGTACTCGTCTCATCAGTGATTCATATACTGAGGGGGAAACCGTTCGTGCTTCGTTCTTTGTTATGAGCATCTCGTTACAAACTCTCGCATGCCTGTTTACTGGCAGGTGTTATGAAGGCGCCCTGCTCTTTGTCTCAATCTGGTGGCGCCCAACCATCTTCACCATCGAATTCACGAATCCAATCGAGCTCCTGTTTTGGAAAAGAGGGCTCAAACGATATTCCTCCGCGTTAACTCCGTCTACTATATAGGATGTGCAAAACCCTTCGCTGTACTGCGACGCAAATGAGTAATTTAGCATCTTCCTCTCTTTTTCCTTTTATGAAGCTCTCTCCTTACGTTCTGGTAGTGTTTTTGCTAGCATAAAATAATTTATATGAAAATTTGCTCCGTATGCTTTCACACACATTATCTTGACACATGCCTTACATTTTTGTCATTTATCGATGGCATGATCACGGTTACAGGTAGGAAATAGTGCGTTTTTGACGCCTTAATCGATAATCTAGCTCATGACAAACCTTTCTGCTCTCATCCTTCCCAAATTTTTGTTTGTATTGAAGGCTCAATTACTTCAACTCATCCATTAACACGAGTATTTCTAAGTTCTTAGTCAATTCAAGAGGCGTGGTCTAGCAAATTGAATAATGTTTTCTTGTTATGTGACAAGGTCTAGAACCAACTCACCGGACTCTAGGGCACTTGCCCCGACACAAAAAACTGCTTCCTTCTCGGCCTCCGATCATCTCGCAGGAGTTTTAGGAGATCTAGACGATCAAGAAAAAGTTTTGACGTGATGCCAAACGTTTACGCAACGTGACGGCGCTCGCCTTCGCTGAGGCTCGGGAAGATTCTAGGTCTGAAACTGTCTACCACTCTCAGAAGATCAACGAAGGTAATGAGATTTCATTGGCTGACTTGAACCAGTCTTTTGCCGCCTTCGGAGAGCGCATCAGTTCTCAATTCCTATGATAGCGAATCTTAGTTTCGATATGCCTTTAGGTCCCGAGTCATCCCTTTCAACGGCATTGGAGAGGATCCGATGCAATTCTTGTTGTAGCTTAGACGCGGAGGCGTGATGAGGGCGAAGGCATCGACCTTTACCAGCAGACAGGCGTTTCTCCTTTCTGATTGGACATCTTGATGGGATCACCCATGAAAAGATCAAGAAACTTCCGGATGAAGTTCGGGAAGACTACTCGGTATTTGTTGCCCACCTTGAATAGTCTTTCGAAGCTTCTCAACATAGATACGTGGCTCGCCAATCACTCGCGCCCTGTCGGCAGCATATTGATGAGTCGGCTGCGACATTTGCTACCCGTCTGCTGCTTTTGGTTAGAGCAGCTACGGCTGGTCAAGACCCTCAACCAGAAGGAACGCGTACTCGGGGAATTCGTTGCCAGACTTAGACCGGACATACGCTATTATGTCAAACTTATAATCCGGCGACATTCGAGCAGGCAGTTGCGAAAGCCAAGATGGTGGAGCAGATGTTAGCAGAAGCCACGGCCGATCGCCTCATACGGCCATCGCAGCCTGTACAACTATTGAGGTGAGAGCGGCCATTACTCCGCGCAGGGATAATAGGGAGCTCTGCCACGACAATGTCTCCCGCCTAGGTTTCGCGCAGTCATTCCAGGGTACTCGAAGCTCTGGACCTACACAATCCGGTACGCCCGCTACTACATGCTTCAACTACTGCGGATCTGGGAATTATTCTCGAATCTGCCCATGCCTCGTGCTAGAAGAACGAAGAATGTGCGAGCCAACCAGGTGCGGGTTCTTTTTCCTCTCGTCCTCAAAGACATAATTTCTCGCACTTTCTTCGTTCTTCTAATTTTTTCTTTTCGTAAGAACGATCATGGATCGAGGCAGGTTCGTGAACAAATTAAGGCATTGTCTCTTTCGTTGCGTGAGAACCAATCGGCTCTCGAGCACTCTGGTGCTAGGATAAATGCTCTCATCAAGCGTAATGAGAGGCTTGCAAATTCCACTTTCGGCAACTCGGTTACATCTCATTTATCCTGTCCTCATTCTTCTTCTCAAGTTGAATTTTTGTTGCCTATTTCCGTTTTGATATGCTTCGGCCACTCGGAAGCACTCTCTGTTTTAGCGTGACTCTGCCCACACGAATCAGCCGATTCACTCGTTCCTATTCCTCTTTCGTACAATTGCTCACGTATCATGCCAAATCCCAACAAGAGGTTCTGATCCTTCTCGGTTCAGGTGAATCGCCCTACACTGAGTGATACCTGCTTCCTTGCCCAAAATTATTTCTCTCACTACCACTCATTCTGATAACTTTTTGGGGCCCGCTTCGAGAGCGGCAGTGAGGTATCGTCTATTTTTTTTGAGGATGCAATTCATGATCATCCATCATAAATGCAAGCACGGAGTGATGTCGCAATCCGAAAACGTTTGGTCCACTTCTAATAAGGCTGATATCAAGTGGCCCTCAGCTCCGTTTGGCTGTTGTACTGATTACGCACATCTGTTTCCGACTGTATTGTCGTTCCCACGGCCGTCCACATGCGGTAAGTCTCAAGCGCCCCTGACTCCCCCTTCAGTAGTTTGCTCACCACGGCTATACTTTCGGAACCTGCCTTTTTGAGGACGGATCCATGCTTTTGTGGACTCCTAACAGAGGAGAAGAGTGCTGTTTTTCCTGTTATTGAGATGCGAGGGCACCGTTTCGGAGACATTTGGTTTGGCGACTCCAGAGAATTCGCTCCGTTCTGGACCGACTTCAGTGATCGTGTTCAAGATTGCGGACCTGAGTTCACCGTTTCCGACCAAGGCTACGCCATCGCCACGGTGTCCCGAAGCCAGGGTTCGTCTAATTCAGCGGTTGGGATCGCAACTTCAAACCAACTAGCGTCCCAGTGGGGGATCGGTGAGCACAGCAGTCGTAACGCTATTTCACCGCGCTCTTTCAGCATTGCGCGATAGCACTAACCTTTTAGCGTTCGCACTTCACTCCTCGCTGGCTGTTGACCCTACCTTAACGGTCCGTGGTCGTTTGGATCGAGGCGATATCGGCGCCACGTTTTTATGTACTGATCTCCTTCAGATCAACTGGCGTATGCTAGTTCTTCCCCGTAATTTCCGGCTAGTACTGTTCAATAGCACCTGCTATGCTTGCCGCGTTTACCACGTGGCAAACTTCACCTTTTTTTAGGACTGACCACAACCTCTCTCCCCACTTTTCTCAAAAACTAATCGATATAATTGCAGATAGGAAGACGGTTCGAGCAGGAATGATTCACCTCAAGCGCTCCAATATCGCCGAGGGCGATGAAACTCTCATAAAAAACCTTTACAATCTTGAGGAAAAGTCCTGCAAATTGGAAAATGCCGCCGCCCACCAAACCCAATCCTTGTTCCCATGCCTCTAACATCACGCTTACCTCTACTCCAAGCCGGCACTGTGGGTGTGCCGGCGATCATTTCTTCTGTGCTTGCCCATGTTGTGCGCTTTAAGGAGAACAGCTTCATAGCTTCGTTAAGAGAGTCGTTTGGCAGATTATGAATGCAGATACGTAATCTGTATCAAAAATACGTCAATGTAGGTCTTAAATCAAGCGGCCACTTCGACCTGAAATCCTTCCCGATCGCTCGTTCGCGCATCAATTTTCTCGATGAGATAGCAGGCAATTTTCACTCACCAGCACAACGCAATATCAGTGCAATTCGTTATTTTTCTGAGCCTACTTCCACCGAGCTCGTAAAAGGATTCGGGGTCATGGCTAATTTTTTTCCGAACTCATCCCAAACTTTTCGCATATAACAGTACAACATTATGCGTTACTTAGAGATCACGTTAAATTCGTTTGGGGACTTGAACAAGAAGAAGCCTTTCAGCAACTGACGCATTTGCTCGTCTCCAAACCATGTTCCTTCCCTCAAGATAAGGTCTTCTTCTGGCACCCGGATGGTAGTGAGAGGGCCGTCGGCGCGACCTTATTCCAGACGGATGTCCTTTCAAACTGTCACTCCGCTTCTGCAGGCAAGCATTCCGTCTCTGTATTCCTCAATAGCTTCCCTGGATTCTCCCTCATTTAAGAACTTCATGATAGCTCGCATTACTGATTATCACATCGATGGTTCGCTTCGTACGTTGATTACCGCCCCACATGCCCGTTTCCCATTCCCCACTTTATCATTTATGTTTCAGAGAACATGACTGAGCCCGAATAATTGCTCTAGCGCTTTCGGTCGTCATGAGCGATCCGTCTCTTACGTAGAAGAATCCGGAACAAGAGGCAGATACAGGGGAACATTCATCTGACTGCATGCCAGCAGATGCCGATTTTTGTTCGAATTCTTTTTCTGATCCTACCGAACGTTCGATGAACACCACAGGAACTGCCGTCCATAGCGACCCAGCAATGATCGGTGACTCTGATGCCCCAACCACGTCCGTTTCAGCCAAATTCACCGGCGATATCCTTCCTCCTTTCTCGCCCAGCGGCGGCCCCCTTCACATGACTACATCCATGGAACTGTTATCGCTGGCTAACTCGCCTGGGCCTCCAACTCATCGAGGCTCGTCTCTCAGTCAGTCCCGCCAGCACAGTCGGAACGCTCGGCCTCAGGCTATCGCACGCCCTCAAATTCCTTTCTGTCACAGCCTTCAACCAACATCTTCTCAGGATTGTACTACGGATTCGCTATCGAATACCCGAGCTTTCCCGCGTGGGTTACAGCCCCAAACCTTTGAGCCGTGGCCTTCGGGCCTTCATCCTCCAGAACTACTGCTGGCCGTGGTTGTGGAGCTGCTTGACAAATTCGAGCCGGTTCGCTGCTCCAAGTCGATGTCAGCCAGCTTCTCCAGAAAACCCCAGAGTCCTCCCACTTGCTGACTCGTCGCCACCCATGAACTTACCTGGTCGCGCCTTATCGCTGTGCCCCAGGAAAACCCTCCATCTGTGGCTAACACCCCAAGCACGGAACTTCGCTGACGCTCATACGTTAGCGGCTACTTGTCTCTACAATTCATTAAGTTTCTGTTTCCCTAGTAATGCGTCCATCACGTCTATCGTCGAGGATCACCTTCATCAAACTTTGACATCTTGAGGCTACGGTCGCTTTTGCGCTCGCTTTCAGCGCGACTCCAGGATGTACCTGAGGGTACCTACATGGAAATTTACGTGAGCGACTTGCAACAAACTTCGTCTTTTGAGCATCCCTAACCGTAATACCGGTTAGGATCGGTTGTCACCCAGGGATATATGAAGTAGTGTTCACTGGGATGGGGTAGCGGCGTCATACTTCTAGCGAGAGACTTCTTCACGGTAGGCCCCGACAGACGCGACCAACACCGCATCCTGCTAGATAAGTTGCGATAGAAGTAGTCAAGGGTTGTCGCTGCTTCAATAAATCCTTGGTCAAGGATAAGGACTTTCTTAGGGTTCACGATATCTACATATACCTACACGTCAAGCTTTGAAAGACCCTCTTATCACGTATACCTCGTACCACCATCGTTGTTACAACCTCCGTGTTCTTCTTCATAGCTTCCTATTTCGCTTTTGTTGCTCCCAAGGATCACGAGTCCCCGATTTACGGTATAATCCTCAATCTAATTTCGCGTCGCAACACCATTGCGCGTGCCCACGCAGCCTTTGAAGGGTGCCCCGATGCAGACGTTCACCTCTGCTTTTACCTCGTTTCCACTTAGATGACTTTCGCAATACGACGATGCGTTTTTCGGAACCTTCCGTCTCATTATAGGGTCGAGAACAATTGGCCATTCTTATCCGTCGCTTTCTACCCATGTATCCTGATAGGGTATGCTCCCTCTTAAAGTTTTATGAATCACTAAAGTCGAACGCGGCTTTTTCGAGAACCGCCTGGGACCATTTAATGACTACGCTACCGACCCCACTGCTTCGAAAGCTAAAGTCGCCAAAATCTGTAGTGCAGCTTGCTCTGCACTGGCTGTCTCATTAACGCCAAAGACGGCCGTCGCTTCCACATGACCCAAGCCACAACCGTTTGGCCACGTCGGTTCCCCACGCGTGTTAGGTTACACTTCCATGACATGCCCTCAAAGGCGGGATGGAGTCCTGACCGCCATGCAGTAATTTGGGGGGGAGGGGGGGCAGGTTCAAATAATTCAAGGTAGCGTCATACACGTCGAACCCGATTCCCCTTTTCGGAAATTGCAAGCAACCGTCGAGGTCTTTCCAATGGTCAAATCTGGCACTACGCCGTGCGTTTGCCACTCACGGTACGAATACCGGCAACGGACACATCGCTGACATCTGCGTACGCCTGGTCAAGGCCTCAGCTGCTTCAGACCCCGTTTATGAATGGTGTCTTGCTCCTCCATAATCGCTAACCTGCGAGCAGACTCGACCGGCCACCAGGTTATAGACCTCAATTTCGGGCGCCCACTGCAGGCGCAGACTAGCCCCTGTGTCTGCGCAACCCTCCGAGTCTCCTCCACTTTGATTGGCCTTTCTCGGCCTGTCAGCGAATGATAGTCTTTACACCTGACCAGAAAAAGGTGTGCACCTTGGATCTTCCTAACAGCCAATGATCGCTATACAGATAGCGTTTGACACAGGTAAGACCCTTATAGGTGCCCCTACTGCGCCTTATCATCCCACGCTTCAGATATTATCGTCACGACGTCCACGAACGCCGCTATAGCCCAATTCACGGACACCTTGCTCTCTTTCAACGATTTCTCCAATCTACGAGTAGTACGTCACAGCCGCAGCCGACAACCATACCCCCTAGCGGTCCGCGAAATGTTTGACGATGAGAAAGAGGAGATAACCGAAGAATAGGTTTCCGCCACTCTTCGCAGCATGGCTCGCATTGCGTTCAAAGTCCGCCGTCCTTCCATCATAAGTAATATGACTACAACTTCCTTGTTCAATTCTACGGCAGGTCGAACCGGGGTTTTCACCCCTTTCATTCCCTCCTTCGGACCATCGCAGGCGACGAAGCTTCCCAAAATCCAGACCCTGCCTTCCTCGCTCTCACCAAGTATATATCGGCGGTAAGCATCAACCCAACCCGCGCCACGCCCACATTCGCCCAACCTCGTACTCCACGGCCTCGGCGTCATGACTATCCTGTTGCGCGCTCCGGGGGTGCCTGTCTCTCCCTTGATAACCCCATTCCGCTCGCACCCTGCTCTTATCGAGTTCCCCAATACCATAGCGTACTCAGGAACGCTGGTCAGTGGGACACCTGAGGACGCTCGTACGCTTTTACTGGACCGCATCAGCTTCTCGACACCGGGCGTGCCCTTTATGTTCATAAACATGTCAGGCACATCGCCGCAGGCCATAAGTAAATCCCACTAAAGCCCGTCGGAGGCGTCGTCTGTATGCACCACATGGACCTCTTAGCCCATCGTGAAGTACCGAGTATGCGCGTTTGTGTCATCACATTTTGCAGGGAGCATCTTCGGCAGCTCAGAGAACCTCTACGACAGCGCGAGCGCGGAAAGGATGTCGTCATTATTCTTACCAGGGAGGGGTAGCTTACTCATCGTGGGAGTTGGAATGAGAACCCAGATGAATCGATAGAATTTTGAATGCTGTTAACAAAAATGAAAAATAAAACTGCAAAATGGTTCTCCTTAACGAGTTGTGAGGGCTCGAATTTTGCTTGACAGTAGTATGTATTAGTTGGATATGCGAACTCGTCGCTTTAATATCAAGTGCCCGCGTGGCCTGATAGTGGTCTCGCTTCATGGGCGTAAGACGAGGGTTTGCTCCCCGCCATCGTCGGCATTTTTGCAAAGTGCCTTTTCCATTTCATCAAAGGTTCTCTAAACCTTTTCTGACTTTTCTGCAAGTGAGCGCCCTATTTCTGCCTATATTTTCTCTCGTCGCCCCCATCCAAAGAAAATGGCTCTGCACATTAATTGCATGACTCTTTTTTGTTTTAGACTACAAGGAACATTTAACAGAAAGTAAGTAGAGATAGGTAAGATGCCTGAAAGAAACTCAACATTGATGGAAAATCTTAAAAAAGCGTGAAGCACACATGCCCTTCAGAAACTGCAAACCATGGACGAAACACTGACGTAGCACCGGCCGAGTTCAGTCTTGAAACGGTTGAATGTTTTGTCACCGGATGTAGAGAATCAGCATGCATAAGGTGTGCAATTTGAAAAGAACATGTGGGGTTAATGCATTTTCAAGTTGTTCAATCGAAGTTGGGTTTATTGCAGGCATCTTTCACACCTCTAGTAACTCTCTGTTAAATGATCCCTAAAGTCTAAAATAAAAAAGTGTCATGCAATCAAAGAGCAGAAAAACTTGGATGGGGGTGACGAGAGAAAATGTAAACAGAAATAAGGCGCTCACTTGAAGAAATGTCAGATAGGTTTAGAGAGCGGAAATGGAAAAAAGGTTTTTTGATGAAATAGAAAAGGCAATTTGAAAAATGCCGACGATCGTGGGAAGCAAACCCTCATCTTACTCTCATAAAGCGAGACCACTACCATCAAGTCACGTGGGCCCTTGATATCAAAGCGTTCATTCGCATATCCAGTTAATACAACTGACAAGCAGAATTCTAGCCCCATAACATTTAAAGGAAAACAATTTTGTAGTTTCAATTTCCATTTTCGTAAACAGCATTCGAAACTCTATCGATTTATCTGGGTCTTCATACAAAGTCCCACGATAAGTAGACTACCCATCTTTGGTCAGCACCAAACCTAACTTTAATCCAAATTCAGTCGAATTCTTAGGCGCTTACCGCAGGCTCAACCCCTCTATCAACATGGACGATTTATCATAGGACATGCACACTCTTTACGCGTAATACCAACGTGGTGCTGCTTGCTCGACTGGGCTGACTCGCTTGGCGCCATCGTCCCTAAAACCCGGTGTGGTGCGATTCACCGAAAAAATGATCAACTACGCACATTTACAGATGGATTGCGTTTTCAGGATCGAAAAAAATTGAAGATATTCTTATTTTGAACGTTTGACAGATAAGTTGTTGACCTATTAAGTGAATTCTCAATCTCGAATGGGCTTCATTACCTTAGTAAAGAGATTCGCTCTAATTCATGGTGGAGCCGTGGACTACTGCAAACCCCATTTGGTCCATCTCAAGCGGAAGGTACTGAAGCGATGCTGCGTGTGCGAAGAGCTCTAGTGGGGTCACGCGTAAATCGCGCCCTCTAATACCCGGATGGATAATTTCTTTCGAGCACCGGCCCCATGCAATCTGGTGAGACGGTTTTTTTATATCTCTGCTTCATTCTCAAAGTCCGTATCGGACTTTCGGTAAAAGGGAGAGGTGTAAGCGTAGCGCCTCACGGGACGGTACGCAGTTTTCCCGAAGAATATTCATAGAATACTTTCAGGGCGTGACAATGGCTCCGCGAATTTTTTCATCTCTGAACCTTCGTGACCTGTGGGTTGAAAATCCAACAAACAATCATAGAACATTGCCAGCCGAGGGATGAATTTTGTACTCGAATCTTTGGTGGATTGGTTAGAGGAAATAGTATTGTAGTGACAAACCTTGCAAGTTCCATACTTTGAGGTGTTCTCGGCAATTATGCTTTTCCAAAACAATTTACAAAATGGATGAAAATTCGAAAGAGAGCCGGAGAAAATGTGCTGGTTGCTTCATGGACATCTGAAGGAAAGGTCGTGCTTATAAATCACGCCAAAAGGGTTTCGTCTTCAAAATGCTCCAACTGCTACAAAAACTTTGTTTCGGGTTTTGACTTGATGTTTTGTTAACTGCTGTTATATCGCCGCAGTACGCGATGCGAAAGTCTCACAAGGATGGCGATTTGTGGACAAAGCTTCAGTCTCGGAGGGGACTCGAACGGACCCATACTTGTCCTTTCCGGGGACCGTGCTCTTAGCCCTTACACTACCGAGACCCCGCTTGCCCTCGCCTTCTTAATGGCTTATAAGCCGTATAGGACAAG